ACTTTCAATGTCATAACTTTTTATATTATATCTAAAATGAAAGCAACAAAAACCATGGTATCCATTATGGGTGTAGGTACAGATTGTTCTGTGGGCTGAGGGTGATATATAATATTCTTTAATTTTGTTTGATTACCGATATTTCTATCAATTGGCTCTTTCAATTGGCTCATTTGTCGATGTGTGTAATGTTGATGTTGATGGTGCATCACTCAACTGTTGAGGCTGACTGTTTCTTATATTGTCAGTTCTTTTCAACCACACGAGCAGCATCTGCATATGATACAAGTTGTTTCATTTGAATATTTTTCTGACGTTTATATTGTGGACATTGGGGGCTCACAGCACTATGATTGCCTTGGCATCTATAACATTTAGTGGTTGACTTACATTAAGTTGTGGAGTGGTTCGATCCACAGTTGGCACAACGTTGTGTAGCCTTGCAAAATTTAGCAATGTGTCCAAACCGTTGACAATTGTAGCATCTTGTGATGTATTGTTCCACTGGGAATTGTTCATAACCCAGATGAATGTATGATGGTAAATGTGCTGAGTAAAAAGTCACAACCACGGTTTTTGTTGGGGTTTTTTCACTATTGGAGCTCGATGTTCTCATGATGCGACGGACTTGTGAAACACCACTGCTTTTAGTTCTTCTATACTGATGTCAATATACATGTTTTTCACAACGCCAGTACATTTTTGGGTCCTTGTTGTATTAGCAATTAAAAGTATTTATATGAGCAAGTTAAAACTATACATAGGATTTTGGTACTGGACATATTGATCACATTTTACCTCTATGTTTTGGAAAATTTTGATGCTGGTCATTTTTTTTACATCTTCTAAACTTTTGCATTCAATTTTCAGGTTTCCTGAAGGCATCTTGCGGATTGTGTGTACATTTTCAACTGTTTTGGAGGTTTCCTGCCTTATTTTAAGACTGTTTTTATCCGACAGCTTAACGTCTTTGTTTTTACTTGATATTATCACCGTCTGGAGTGTTTTATATACATTAATTGATGCAAAATTGTTTATATTGTTGTTGTTTTCTTCGTTGCCGTCTTCAATTTGCTTTTTAAGTCTGAATCTGCTCCGATGTGTCGGAGTAATCCAATCCATTTAACCAAAAGTTGTCGGTTTGAGGTTTAGTTTATGTTATAGTAGAAGTATAGAAACTATATTTATGATAGAGATTGCTCAAACAGCGAATAATACTGATACGAATAATACTACTTGATACTGCCTTGGAGTTCCTGTCGGCTACATTTCTCTCCTTTCAGTAAGCCATTTACACAGAGCTTCTTGTTCACATAGTTAACTATAGAATTGAAAAATGATACATTACTTGACAGTTTGGGTAATTTTAGGGTCTGTTTTAGCAGTATACGCCAGCTTATATAAACAAATTTCTATTTTCTCTTAACTTACAGATAAACTTAAATAACTTTGCATTGAAATTTAATAGTATATGGAACTCATATTTTGAAATTCATTGTAATTTCTCTAAAAATAGAATATTGCAAACAACTAACATTCATTCTGCGATGTCATTGTTTATTACGCGACATCAGTAAACCGAAACTGCGTCACGAGATAATTGTGTGTATTCTTCTATATATATCCGATTGCGGTAAATTTTGAAGCATAAAATCAAGGCGACGAAAACATATCAGTATAGTTTGATATCGATTGCATAGAAGCAAGCTGGTAATGGAACAGTTAGCTAAGTTTTTAAAGTTTGCATGAAAAGGTTTCAACTGTGTAATATCTAAACGTGATTCGATAAGACATTTCTGACGGCGGAATTGTTGCTGTAGCCATTCGGCTACTTTCGAAGCGTAAAAGACTATGCTATGAGTTTATATATACTATAAATATATATATATGCTATAGCAAGAATGTGAGATGAGAAGATTTGTCAAACTTGGTTGAAAACTCAGACCGAAACTTCAAAAACATCGTCAGATAAGAATTAGTAAGGTTTGCTATTTCGAGTCTTATGTTACGTTTGCCTCAGGCGATGAAGTCAAACGAAAAGATCGGTGTCGCAGTGTGCTGTATAGATAGACGGCTGTTTTAATTTATCATTGCTAAAATGGCCTGGTCCATGAATGGCCAGGGTCGGTCCATAACTATACCGGCACACTCTGTGGTCAGGGCCGGATTGCCTTTTACCTAATTACGATGTAACTCACTTACGAGTCTAAGTATACAGCATAAAAACGTTGCCCTATCTATAGGAATATAATATATAAAATGTAAATTTGATAATTTGCGTGTAGAATAAACGCGGAGCGTATGGCCGATTGAGAACGCACAGTAATAGATTAGGGCCTGGCCACTAAATATCATGTAAACTTATGCAAAGTTCACGAAATTTCAATTTTAGTTTTCTAATCTAAGAAACATGAACACGGGCACTCCCTTGGAAGTTATTAAATAACTGAGCAAAAAAACGACCCTGCCAACACATCTACTTTAAACCCCGTTTAACAACAGGTAAAGGTAATAGAAAATTGCGATAAAGTCGATTAGAAATGAATACTTATCATTGTATATTTTCAGAGCAAGATCTAGGCAATTACGAAAAAATGTATTGGACAAACATTTTGAAAATCTTAGTCGTCAAACTCTCAAATTATTCGCTGTTAAAACTGTTTTTCTGAATTCAGAACAACTAAAGGGTTAGTGAGCAGCGTCATTAAGAACAGCAGCAAGCTCATAGTTTGAACGTCATTTGATCCACGTCCTGATATATCCACGGTTTCATGTGCAAATAAACACAAACAATTTTTTATTCCTCAGTTATAACGTAAATATCCTGAAATCGAGATGAAAATCTCAATCGTCTTTATGTTAATATACGTCATCGCTTCATCCTGGTGCCAAGATGAAACAGTGTTTCATTGCTCTCCAAAGCCGGGTTGCCAGATTGCACAATGTGATTTGGTTGCAGTAGGATGGGACAGACCAGGTTTCAACATTGATGAACATCTGCATGATAAGGAGTTTCCGATTACGTGCAAATCTATGAATGACACGGAATCAAAAAATACTGGCAACTTGCTTCCTGTCGTAACTAGAAATATTTTAGGTAAGTGTGAACGATTGAATATCACGTGGGTTATCAGAGTTGGTGTTGGCGGCGAAGCATATTGATTAAGTTTTTTTACTGTCTTTTATGCTCACTATATATTATTAAGTCATATCTATGCTAACCAAAAGCATACAGTGGCATTCTATTTTAAATATCATAATTCTATACAGTCTCCTGACATTCAGTGGTCGCCATATCTCCTTTCAGAAATGAGTTTCCTTTATTATTAGCTGCCATTATGACATATCGTTTTAATAGCACTTGGCATTTCAGCGGTCGCCGCGATTGAGCTTTTTGAATTATTGCCTATTATTGTCTTTTTCTGCGCAGATATAAGAAATATCAGATCAGAGTTAGAAGAATCAAAAGCTCACTTTGCTAGAGCAAATTCTGGTCAGTTCATTTTATAATGTATTTATTTTCTCCCAACACATCCGTAGTGTACACGATTCATGCCTAAAAGAGATTGGACTGAACACCGAATTGAATAAGAAATATCTAATGCGAAACATGGTCACCATCGTCCATGTTAATGTACACGGATTCTAATATAAATAATATCAGTTGGAGGATGAATAGAATATTTATTGAAGCTTTTAAAGATCATTTCTGAAAGAGCTGGTGTAGAAAACTGGAACTATAATATTTTCTGCCAGAAATCCGAGAACATCGTGGAAAAATTGCGGAACAATCAAACGAAATAAAAGATATTCGCAATAACGCCCTTCACCAATCTCGGCAAATTGAAATTCTACTGAGGGAAAACACAGAACAAAACTCTGTGATCAATGAATTGAAGAAAGGTCAGTGACGTTATGTTACTGCAATTGATATTTGACATTAAGTCCTGTGATCTACGTCGTGCCGAATTGATTCTTTCTCAAATGGAGCTTCAGTGTGGCTTATTGGTCACAAATTGGACTTATAAATCGTATTGTTGCTATGTTACATTTTCCTTGTTTTGTATAAAAATCGACTCTTATTTATCTAATCAACCAATTGATTTAAAAATTTAGTGGGTAACAATTGTTGCTATTGCCAATCACTTTTTGAATACTTATTTGAATATGCCAGTGTGCTGTATAGAATTTGTTTACCAAAATGCAGAAACAAGTTCGTTCTGAAACGTTTTGTTACAATCAGACACCTTTTCACTCAGAGGATTTTAGTGTAGTACCAGTAATCATAAGTTAGTCCCAAACAAACTGCGATAGACCAGCCAGGATATGACACAAACTTTATACTTTTCATATACATGATGCGTTATTACATCTCTGACATGTGGAATGTGACCATGTGGTATCGATGTAGTTTTTCCATATTATTGCCAATTTTTTGACAAATCATTTCATTTTGGTAGAATTGATCAAATTTCAAGAAAGAAATGATAAGCTGGAGAAAGAATTGAATGAACAAAATAAAACGAATAATTTGATGGAGAAAGGTAGCAACTGTAACTTTATATTTTTGAAGCATATCGTGGCGTCGAATAACCGTTTGAGTTTAAAATAAATTGAATTATAAAATTACAAGCAAGGATACTCTGACATTGGAATGAAACATTGGGTTTGTATTTAAGCACAGCAAATATGTCCTACATTAATCTAAATATTGTTATATTCAGTAATATCCAGAATGGAACAAAAACTTGGTGTAACAGAGAACCTTTCGACTATAAATGAGTTTAAATATAAGGCTAGCATTATAGGTTCAGTACATCTGAGTCATGTTAGGTACTGTACTTGAAAGTTATTATAGATAGAATCTAAAGACTTATGCTATTTCCGTCAAGTTGGCTGCATGTTCAACTGCAACCAAATTGGCCATTCTGCCACTGACAACATTTTGTTTTTGGTAATGCTGGAAATAGACGCTGACATATGTATATTCTTCTGTTCAGCAATGGAGCGGATTGAACAAAAACTTTCTGCAATGAAGAAACCTCAACAGGTTCAATCTGGAAACCAACAGAGACTGACGACAACGATCCAAACAACATTGAAACCGACCCCTTCCTCAGGTAAGTTTCCATGCTCAGGCCTACGCATATAGAGTCGACATTTGACATGTTTCCACTGGTTTAGCAAGTCTAAACTATCGAAGTTGGAGTCAGAATTTTCAAATCCACAATTTAAGGCCTACTTTAAAAAAAAAATTTCAAATTCCCAATTTTGTAATTTCATGCTTTCAAACCTCCAGATAGTGATAATAAAAGTCACCAGGTTCTACGCGGACTCAAAAATTTTAACGCTATCATTTACACTTCAGAAAACTGCGAATTGAAGGTTGGAAAGATCTGTTATATTTTCGTGTTGCAAAAAGTTGACTACGACACAGCAGTTGATATTTGTAAAAGACGTAACGCGGATGTTGGTTTGATCCGAAATGAAGAACCTTACAATGCGATTGTAAAATATTTGGCAATAAACGATTTGCCGTGGATTAATATATGGACAGGAATTCGCTTTGATCCAATGGTTAGTGTTCTATGAATGTTTTATTTAACTTAAACTCGTAAACATAAGGATCTGTTATTGAGCTGGTGAAGTGTGGGCATGCCCAGATCCAATGCAACGACAGGTATTTGTGAGACAATTAAATTAGGAATATGCCTAATTGTTCTCTGGTGCAGGCAGGCAAGTGTGGTCTTTATCTATCAAATCAGTTACGGAGGAACACTGCGGTAATTACCGTGCTTTTTAAACGCTCATACTCCAATGCATACATATATTTCATTCATAGATAAATTTATAATAAATGTATAGTTTCAGAGAAGCCAATTCCTTACAGTCCGAACATTGAGATTTACCTCACAGCATGTGAGAGTTACAGTTAATTAAGCGTAATTCAATGATAATCCTCATCCAATCATTCTTCTCAGACCCGTGACGTCACACCTGCAGATTCATTCATCAAATGGGGTTCAGGCTTCCCGCACATTGGAATCAATCGTAAACATTTCACAAATGTTTATATTTATGCTAATTTCGATTTGAGATATCAAGCAATGGAGAATGGTGCGCCTACCTGGAAGGTAGATGGAGTTATTTGTGAGATCCTGATATAATGAAACGTCTGGCTGGATTATTTTGTTCCTCTGGATATTTCATCAGTAAAATATAAATCTTTGATTCTAATTTTAAGTTTATAGGATTGATGTTTTACTTAGATTAAATTGTTGTATAAAATTTATTAAGATTTAGATTCAAAATTCAAACACTAAAGAGTCATTTATCTGCTAGTTTTGTTTGTCTTTGTCAATCAACTTTTTTGAATACTGAAGGTCGAGATGACAAATTTAAAGGTTTTAATTCTTAATTTGCGTAATGTCAAAGTTCGGAAATAATTTTTTACGAACTTGCCTCATGAACTCGATATAAATTTAGCTTTCGTGTGACATACATTTTGCTGTTTTCATGTCTGTTTTTAAAAAAATCAGGTTGAGCAAGTAGGATAGAAAACGCTGAGGGATATGGGTCAATGCATTGAGCAGGGAGTAGTTCAGACATTGGATTGAGATAACTTATCACGTGATAATACAGCTGAAAACGTCTCTTTTCACGATGAATGGAAAAATGGAATTGTGTTCAATACTTATTTAATACTTGTATGGAAGTTTTTGATTCATCGTCACAAGAGGAAACTTATGACAGGATATTATCGCTTGCTATCGATGAGTAAATAATTAGTGCGCCCATGCGAGACTCAGCTCAAATCATTTGTATGACTAGTAGTCTTAGTAGACCGATATACTAAGAGTAACGTATTGAAGCAAATGAAGAATGCAAATCACTTAAATGAGCTTCGTTATACATTTTTTCATGAGCGCCCAAATTTTAAATTTTTTAAAATAGTGAGCAATCGCATCGATTCAGTAGTCGATGGTAACGATTCATACTCTCATTCCAGAATCAATGGCATATTCATAAAATCGTTGGTACTAAATATGATGATGTCTTGAGTTGAACATTTTGAGGCTTTGCACAGTCCCTCCAGGGTGTGACATATTCCAGCATAGTTTCCACGTAAATTACCTTCGCAAAGATGAGAGAGTGTCTTAGATCCGTATTCAAAGCATGTGTGAAAATTGTCTACTAACGGAATACAAACAAAGTGATTGGTGTTTCAAAAAAGTCTTGTAATTGCTACGTTTTCGGGTTTAATACCTTCGACAGAAACACTGACTTAACGTCAATCATCTTTACAAGGCGTCGATTAGACCAATCCGCTACGAATGTTTTACTTTCCCACAAGTTAGCTAACATTAAGTACCAACCAAGACACTTCATTCACACAACGAGAAAATTTCAGGACATTTTGCCGTTACATAATGGTTTATTTGTTACTACGATAAAGAGAACGGCTGTGTATGGAAAGATTGTTGCACACTTAATCTACTTTGTGCACTCCACATGACTCGGTCGTTCGGAATCTTTTGTCGATGACTGTGTAGGTGCTTGACTCTAGGATTTTGTTATTGGCTATTCGAATATATATAGAGGACTTGCACGGGATACGTGACTTTGTTTACTGGACGGCAAAAAAACAAAAACGTCCATTTGGCTCCTGTCAGTTGCAAGTCGGATTATACGTTTCCGTTTTGTTTAGCTGTTGAAAAATGGTTATTTCGCATTCTTCCGTTGGCTGTACATATAGTATAGACGTAGGCGTAGGCCTACTTGCTTGTCTTCTTGCAGACTTCACTTGTGTAAGAAATTAATCATCGATTGCCATTAGGTATTGTTTCCCTAGTTAGCAGGTAATCTATTACTAAGTGTGAAAGGTTGAATAAATAACTTAAGTTTAACGCCAGTGGTCATGCAAAAAATAACCAGAATTCAATTGAATTCGCCATCTAAGAATACGCTCCCCACTGCATCTCTGATCACCCTGGTAGTTTCACAGGTTCTAATCCCATGCGGGGATAGTTATGTGCAAAAGGATTGCAGCCGTACTCCCACTGAGAGTAGTTCACACGACCGCTGATCGGTTACGACCATCCCCCACCATCCAAGTCCATGCAAGACTGTTTTTTCTATATAATTTAGTTGTTGCACCTGCAATCCTCGCCCCCCTGAAAAATCCTATCCTAAAGGTGCTTGTGCAACTGACCCAAAATGTCTTTTTATTGTCATTGGTAAAAAAGATATGCTACCCGGAATCAAATTCGTTTACGACTAGTGTTTGTGGTGGAATATGGACATAAATTTCACACCACTTGATCGTTAGATTTTATGAAAACTCTACTATTATCACAAAGCTAGTGCAGGATCATGATATCGTATCTTACAGATATGGATGCAACCATGGAATAGATGGGTTGACAAAGTATAAGTTGCAACAAGTTCACAGTGGCACAAGACCTCAGCTTGCGTGACTTGATAATACATTCTTAGTATCCATTTATTGATGCCTATTGTAATGACAAAGTAACTTGTGATTACTGTGGATTGGTGGATATAAAGTGTCCATTGTGCTTGAACGAAAGCAACTTCAATATGACCCTATCAAAAAAAAAATATTTGTTTCGATGGGTTAGTAGTGAAGGTTTCAGTCTAAAGTTGGACACCGATAAACCAAATACAGTTGCCAATGAAACTTAGCGAGGCGTAACATTGCGACTTTGTGATCTGAAAGAAAATTCTGATGGCTAACCGCAACCTTTTGTTTATCGAATATTATGAGATACGACTTAAGAGTCTAAACTTTTATTCGAGAGGGGTGTAACCCAAGCTATTTTGCAAATGGTATTCATGGTACCAAATGTATCACACACTTTACAGTAATTATAAATTATATTTAAAAAATAAAGCACATCAAAAATGTAATTTTAAAAAGCAATTGGTTTTATCTGCAGATACCAGGTTTATATTGAGATTGACCATTTCAATGCTAAATTTTCCTTAGTCAAAAGGCACACTTGATTCGCAAAGATTTGTGAATGCGCACAGTACACCAATTTGTCTAATGTTTTTATTCCCTAGGCAGGAAGCTGTGGATCGGTGCTGCTCAGGATGGGACATTTTTGCTTATAAATGCATATTACGTGTTTCACATGAATCCATCGTGCTCAGATTCGGCTGTTTTCAAGGTATGAAGATCTGCTCCAACTGCTTAATTTTATCGGTACACAAGAGAATTTTCAGTGTGGCATGCATGGGTCAGTTGGAGTCAATAACATCGAAATATCTAAAAGCAATGATAAGATAACCTGAAAGTAACATTCCATAATTTAGAGTAAAAACGTATCTGCCTCCACAGCCCTTTCAAATGGAAGATATGATGCCATTCCGGATCAGGCGAGAGATGGATACAGCTGCGATGATCAAGGTAAAAGTAGTACATTTTTAAACTGCCAATTATGGTGGTCGATTTCTATTTGAGATTCAAGGCAATAGACCTACAATAAACAGCTTTACAAATGATGATGTAAATAAGACGCAATTATACCATTTTGTGAACATTTTGTCACCGGAGCTATTTGCATCATGCACATAACCATAATAATATATTACCAATCGTGTTGGTGTGCTTCCTCCGCGTACGCTTCATTCATATCGTTGACAGATTCTCACCGTATAAAGCCTGGAAGTATGCTTGGGAGGATTCGATAAATAGAGGGAAGTAGTTGATGGAGATAGGACAGTTGGTCGAAAATAGAAAGGCTGGAAAAGAGAGGGACAATGGAGCGAGTACAGAAAGTCTAGGACAGTGGGTTGAAAATAGGAAGTCTGGGGGAGATAGGGCAGTGGGTCGAGAGTATGAAGGCTGAAGACCGATATCACAATAAGATGTGTTGGGAGAGATAGAGCAGTGGGTTGAAAATAAGGAAGCGGAGGGGAATAGGTCAGTGAGTCGATAATAAGAAAACTGAGGGAGATAGGGCAGTGCATCGAGGACAGAAAGGCTGAGAGAGATATGGCAGTGGGTCGAGGAGAGAAAGGCTGTGGGAGATAGAGTAATAGGTCGAGTACAAGAAGGCTGAAGAAGATAGGGCAGGGGTCACAAGATAGAAAAGCTTAGGACAGTGGGTCAGGGATATAAAGCAGTTGGTAGAAGATTTAGGAATATAGGGCAGTGGGTCGAAGATAATAGGGCTAAGGGAGATAGAGCAGTCGGCCGAGAATAAAAAGAAGAGCAAGACAGGGCGGTGGGTCGAAGATAGGAGTGTTGAGGGTGATAGGGCAGTGGGTAGAAGATATGAAATCTTAAAGAGATTGAATAGTGGGTCGAAAATAGGAAGAATGAAGGAGATAGAGCAGTGAGTTGAATACAGAGATTAAGGAGATAGAGCAGTGGGTCGAAGACAGAAAAGCTGAGGGGGATAGGACAGTGGGACAAAAATAGGAAGACTGGGGATGGGGCAGAAAAAAAGACACGCGTAAATTAAATGAATCACATTCTTTTTCATCATCGCGTGCGAAAAACAGGATTTCAGAAAAACGGAATTTCCGATTGTCAACTTGGAAAAAATGTCAAAACTGGAGAAAATATCATATATCCGCGGCACATCCATGCTTCCACCCTATGTCAGAATATTTAGTCAAAATTATTTAGAACAATACATTTTGTCAACAGGATATCATCTATTTCGACTCTACTGGGGAAATAATAAAGCGAAGTGCGGGGCTATCTGATTTTCAACTTCACACGCTGTTGGTGAGGAATCCGTACCGTGGATACATTTCTTCGCCTGTTGCAGTTAACCTTACCACTCGGCATAGAGTTCTCAACATTAGCATTATTCTTCGGGAATTCCTCGCACTTCAACTACAAATTTGTAAAACCAGAGTTCGTCCATTACAAGTTATGATAGATGGTTCGAAGGCTATGTGGAATAGTGTACTGAAGTGCTTCAGTGATGAATCAAGGCTCCAATATTATATTTGCCGTTTTCTTATTGTTTGTGGCCATCCGAATGAACGGGATTTGAACCATCAATAATGCAGAACTGTTACAGTCACGCAATGGAAGCCGCACAATAATAATGTGCCCAAAACATACGAAGATTAATAACGTTACCGTCATGAAGTGGATAAGTGGGTTTTGTAATTGCGAAACATTGCCAGAAATGGATGGAATGTTCGAGAGCTTTGTTATAATAACAAATTGTCGAAGGACATCTTCTTTAGTCGATGACAACTTCGAGAAACTTGAGCAAAGAGAACACAAACAAAACTTTCCCTCAAATGCGGACATGGATGAAGCTGATTTGGTACTAGATGAAGACGAATTTTTTATTTCAAGTAAGTCGGATGACTTCCAACGATACTTCAAATTGACTACCGATTTCTGTCAGTAAAATACTTACAAAAAACATGAATTTGTTAAAAAAACAGATGCTGGAA